GATTGTCTCGGATAAACTATTTAGGTTACCTACATTTAACATCTGTCAATTGTACGAGTAGATTGTACTATTATTGATGGTGCATATATACCTTTTATGTAATAATTCTCATATATTATTCATTAATCTTTTTAATTCTTCATATATTTATTTTATAATATGAAATGGTAACTACATAAACATAGGATTATTTTCTGAATCTCTTAATACTTGTGTTAACATTAAGTTCTCTATGAACCAAATAAATGAAGTAAAACCAACGCAAACAGCTAGATTTAGATGCGCAGGCGCCGATGAACTCGTACGTCTGTCAATTTACTGCTCCCGCCGGATAAAACCGGATCAAAGTGGTTAAAGTATTCAGTTATTAATTTAACATGAATTTAATAATTATTTTGTATATCAATATTATAATACAATATAAGTTTTACTGAAAAAACTTTCAGGTCCGTTATTTTACTTAATAAAATTTTTCAATTATATCAAAATCTTAAAATAATCTTTAGAACATTGTATTTCTTCAGGTTTTTATCGGAATAAGTACAAAATAACTCGATACATAACTCATAGAGCCCTCTCAGCGACGAACTCTTAATATATATATATTAAGTGTATATCAATTAATTACATATATTATATACAAATATACAATACTTAATTGTTAGTTATAATTTTTTGTCCTCTCAACGTGACCATATTAAATCCAATGAAGCCTGACTTGTTTCAATAAATGTATTAAACAAGTTAAATTCATTCGTGAAATATTAAATCTATTTTGGTCATCATGAATATCGTTTTATATCGCCATCAAATTGAATTATCCCGCTTTTTAAACGGCGCTCGTGTCTCCGGACTGATTTTATGTGTGTTTAATGTATGGGTTAGTAAAATAATGTTATAATATTATATTTTAAATCAATATTATATGTGATAGCCACGTGCTAGTGTTATTTAGGGAAGAAATTTTGTGTTGCTTATTCTTTGTATTGTTGGGTTCGATTACCGGTTGAAGAATCATATACATTTTTGATTAGTAATATAAATTATTTCGATCTCTTTATATGTGAGGAGGACTTATCATGAGATAGTTTAAAGTAATGTAACTCACTCCATATAATCTGCACCGTGACCAGCTCCGGGCTTCGCTTTGTGAGATTACAGACTTTAAATCTGTTGCGGGTCGGTTTTTACAGAGACTTAGGGTTGTACGAGATTAGCGGTCAGGGGTTGGATGAGATACAACCCTTAAATGAAATATATTAAAATTGTATATTTTATGTTAAGAAATATTCATAAATATCAACAATTTTTATAGAGTGCTTCAGTGTGTGTATATATAATGTTGGTAGGTCCGTCCGTCAGCGCGTCACACGTAATATATGCGAGCTCACGGCCATACAAAACATCCACCCTCATTAATTCAACGGCTAAAAGCTTCTGAAAAAATTGTTTGTAAGACTCAGCCGTTCCTGGTGACACGGAACGGGTACGGGTGAAGCTATCAATACGAACGATAAAATATATAATAATGTGCTCAATATAATAAAGTGACAAGTTGAAGGAAAATATATTATGTAGAGGAAGGAGAACTAACGAGACACAATTATAACGGGGAACGATTCAGAAAGGACTGCGGTATTGTATCGGAGAAGGATGTTGTTAGAAAATAACACAATATATACAGATATATTGTGTTTGAGATAATCGCTTTGACTGAATGCATACACGGTACATATATCATGGATATTTTTTACGATTTTGTTACTCTGTTTGTCTGTTTGTTTCCTGCGGTCTCTGAAACCGTTGAACACATTTAGACGGACCTTTAAAGGCATATAATGTTTGAAGCAGTAATTTAGGCAACTTTTAGTTTATTTTTAGTAATCTAAGTCACAGGAGCAGCTAGTAGTTTATGATGAAATTACAATATATATTATATCTGCACCGTCTCCTTAGAATAAATCGTTAATAGTGAGTGATTTCATCTCAGTGGATGTACAGTGTTAGCGCCAGCACCTCTCTGTGTGCGGGACCGATGTACATAGTAATGATAATATTCATAGTGAAAATCTCATCTCATACAATCATTACAGACAACTCTCTCAAATATTAATATATTTAAAACACCCATAAAATATATCAATATTACATATACTACATATCTATATTAAAAACTAGTTTTTACTCGCGACTTCGTCCGCGTTAATTTTGTCATTAGTAATATATGTATAGCTGACCGGGCGAACTCTATTCCGTCTTAAATAACCATGTATTGGTATTTATTAAATTTTGTCCTGTTTCAATCAAACAGAATGATTGACATATTAGTTAGTTATCAAATCTATTGTCAAAAAAAGTGAGTATGGGAAATAGAAAAGGGCTGTTTATAGGGTTTTTTCAGCTTTTAAACCTTCCCTGAACCTCCACAAACATTTCAAAACTAAGATAAGATAAATCTGTTCAGCCGTTCTCGAGTTTTAGTGAGACTAACGAACACCAATTCATTTTTATCCTATTGTTCCCACTATCCCTATCCCTTCCCTATCCCTCCCACTATTTGTTCTTTCGCGACGTATATTCCCTTGTATTTAATTCTATATTATTACTGTTTAACAATAATACTCAATATGTATTCAATAGTTGTGAGATGATCCCAGCATCCGGCGATCGTAAACTAATTTAATAGAATGATAACTTTATCAATTACTTAGGATGGAATTTGACTAAATGTTAGACGAGTGGCTTCATACAATAGTTGTGTAACAACATATATGTCGAATAATACAAACTATTTAACTAGTTCATTGATGTTATACAAAGATATTTACTATATTTTGAAATTTGGGTAAGTTTAAATTGAACTAGTTATAATAGAAAACAAGATATTTTCAGATTACTTTATGAAACGAGGAAATTAATACATGATGTATATACTACAGTATAAATTTCTTGAATAGTAATGTATTAGATTTTGAAATACAGATAGGAGTGATATGTTTATATGTATGTGAATAATATATAAAGTTTGTTATTTGTTACTGTAATTGGTATATGGGTAATAACTGTATCAATAGAGACGTAATGAAGCGATACGCGATGATGAAGAGTTGCATCGAAACTGGCTCAGATTAAAACAAGAGACAATGGAAGGCAATTAATAGAGCGGCGCTGTACACGGATGTAGGAAGTGTGGAAACGACACTACGTACAGTATGAAACATATGAAAATACAGATATTTGTGGTAATATTATTGTTTGAATATTAAAAAAAATTAATATAATAAGGTCTAAGATTTTCGAGTTATATTCATTTAAATGAAAGTAAATTTTTTTTCGGATATACATACTACGCGTAATTTGTTTGACACATCTCGTCTGTCCGTGATCATGGTTGCTGAAAAGTAGCTGAAACGTGGGGAGTATGTAGTTTTTACAATAGTAAAATACGCGTAGTATATCCGAAAAATATTAGTTTCATTTAAATAAAAAATTTGTTTAATTTGAAAATTCTATAATAACTATCTTGAATAATCTAAAGGTTTTTATTATTAATATGTCATAGTTTGTAGGTACGTATGTATGTAGCGTGTCTCATTCAGTATGTGTACATCAGTGATTGCATATCGTCGGAGTAAGCGGGTCAGGGCGTGTCCAGGACTCAGCTGGTCATATTAATAGAGAACAGTCTTCCTGCTTCACACACACCTCATACAATACTATATGCTGATGATGAAGAGCTTTAACGAATATATAACATTACCTTCAATGGTTTCCCTTCTGAGAGGATTTGGTTATGAATTGAAAGGAAATATTTCATACAAAATAATATTAATAATTTTTAATTTTATCGTCAGTTACTCTGAACGGACAATAATATACATACATATATACCTATATATAATGATAAGCTTCAATACTGTGCTCGTAGAAGTAACGTTTAAAATGTATTTCATAAACAATTAAACATACATAGTGTATGTTCACGATAAATCCGATTCAAGGAATAAATTACATGTTTCGCAATTACTTAGTGCGGGAATTTTAAAGCAACGTTATTAATTTTCCAGGTGTGTATGCGCCAGGTCGACTGTAGGCTTTATCCCATTGTGTTAAGGTAACATATCGAGTGTGTTGATTGTGATGTAGGCGCGTCCCTCGTATGAGTGTTGTATGGTAAATCTTCTTCCGTTTGACTTCACCACAATGACTTAGCTTCCCTCACGGTAAACATTCCCCATTGTATTTCTTATGTGGTCTGAGCAGATCCGGGAGTGACGAACACCCGTTCGATTGAAAATAATTCGATTACCGTGTTGACAAGCCGATGTACAAATAAATATATAATAGCGCGTCCTATCTATCGCATGTTTACATTACAACTTGTCTATTGACGATTATATAATCTGTGTCACTTGTGTGTGCTCGGCAAACATCTGTGCGTCCGTAATCTTTGTCCAATCAAGCAACTTAACGCGTGATCACGCCCGCCATTAACGACCCGTGGCTCTATTGTTGGACGGATATCCGTTACATGTACTAACGTTTTATAAAGACCATTACCAGTCGACACGTTTGTACCGAGCGGTCTGTTATTATCAAATTATTCGCGAAAATTTTAACACGGTTAAAATGTGAAAGCAATAAAAAGTCGCCCGTCATAAAAAAAAAACACACAAAAATTTTATACTGTTGACGTGATGTATTTTTTAAGTAAATTAATTTTATTTTGTTATAGGTTACGTCGCGTCGGTCCGCGGCTCGCGACAGATCCGCTGGATTTACGACCGCAATAAAATGTTTACGTTTATTAGAAAATGCTGTTTGCTTTCAAATTATTATTGTACTGTTCAATTCCTTATATACTTCAAGAACAAACAAACAACTAGCGCCATCTATATTTCAAATGTTAGCACTAAGATCTATCGGCAAATTAGTTACGGAAAGATAGCATAGATGGCGCTGTCAGAAATATAATCCACTCGGTAATATAATCCACTCACCTGTACAGCATCATCTAGACATCGTCCCCAGGCGTCGCTCCTATCGACCAGGGAGTTCCATTTATCAGCTAACTTGGCGACCTCTCGACGGATGGACCTGGCCAGCTCCCGAGCCTGTTCCTCAGCAGAACGATACCCTCGGGAGTCACCTTCTGAATCCCGACTCGCTGGATATATGAAAAACATTGTTAATACGCTGGCATACTACATTACTTTCAAAAGAAATACTTTTCTAGCCGTATCGTCAAGTACGCGTTTAAAACTTATATTTGAAAATGGTGTATTACATTTAAAATGTTCGTTTGAATTTCTCAAATTAATATGTTTGTTTCTCTTACTGTTTTGTTTAATACTCTTAAATGTATAAAGTATATTTGAGAGGCAGGCGTGTTTCAATTTTGAAAGCAATGTTCAGTACGGCACTTTGAGAGCCAATAAATAAAAAACATTATTACGTATTTGATTTAGAATTATTTCAAAAGTACTTTATTTATTATAAGACCTACGACATACAAAGAAAAAGGAAATATTAAATTTTATTTCGTAATTCAGTAGAAGTCGAATAGTGCTCAAATAATTTGTTACTACAAAGATTTACAAACGGTGTCAAGTTTTCTATTTTTGATAGGAATAAATATATTTCTACAGGATTAAAAAAAAAACGATTTCCTGACTTAATGTGAGATGAAGTATTAATGTAAACAATTGACATTATCATAAAGAATAAGTCTTTTATAATAACGATTCTCCTTTATTCAAAACAAAATAACGATACTATAAAACATCAAAGTAGATTGAAAAATATGTAGTATTTTGTCATAAAGTGACAGGACATAGAAAAACGTTCGTAAAATTTAATAAAACAGGAATTTTCAAAATAAAACGTTCCGAGTGAAGCCAATAGTTGAAAGAGAGCGGACCGACGGACCGTGCGCCGGGAGTCGAACTCAGATACTTCACATTTTTCACTTATTACAAAATCCATCGGCTTATTTTAGCTTTAGGCCGAGCCGAGTCCGTCGCAAAAACATTACCTGCTTATTGAACATCTAAAGCTTTTTTTACACGAAACTGTTTCGGCTTAGAGCATATAGCGGAAAATAAGTGAAATTGAGTTTGGTGAGTTTTTAAAAAGATTCCTTAACAAGTATTTATTAAGTTGTAAAGCGGAACAGACGGACGGCGGGTTTATTACTGTTCCAGTTGTAATTAAGATTTTGAAGCGTTCCCAAGGAGTCTCCATTGAACCTGCCTTCATTAAAACACTGCTCGCCCTCAAACCCCTATAACCGACTACGGTTTTATAAAAAACACATTAATAATACATAATTTGTGAATTTATACAGCTTATAGTTCACGAAACTCTCTGTCACTTCTATATTTATAATTTTTCTTATATGTTAATCAAACAAAGTTATTTTCTTGCATCGACTAGTCTCTCAAAGGTATTTAGTATGAATTTTCAACTAATACCTATCCTCCAAATGTACTGATTCAATTAGCAGATAATAATTAATTAACTATGCACATATCGAAGCCACTGATATCAATATTAGCTAACGAACTGTCGGTGGGCGGCGCGTGACGTCACTAGTCACCACCAAATAATATTATAGTCACGTGCACCTTCATTCACCTAGTATAATAAACTAAAGACGAAACAAAGACAAGTTAAGCAGTTATATATTATTATAAAAGACGATATCTTTATAATTTATATCGTCACACTTCATACGAGCTGTAACAAGTTCCACACTACTACTAAGTCTATCTTTGCAATGTCAGCGTACAAGTTAAAACATTTAAAACAATAACAAACAAGGAAAGTCCAAAACAAATACAATTTAAAATCAAATCACAAATTCCCTGTATCAGTAAAAAGGGAATACTGAAGGTGGTTAAATTACACTCGGCTCGGTAATTGCGAGTGTTGATGGAAACGATCACCTGCAGTTTAATTAAAACTCGGGAATATTTGACCGGAAACCGGCGGTAATCAATGGTAATCAATGGTAATCACTGTCAAGTTAGCGGTCCCATGCGGTCTTGTGGATTCAGTTGAAAAGAGAAAGTGTAGAAAGTAACCACCATTTTATAGGACATTCTATAATAAAACTATAAAATTTTAAGGACCATGTAATATTTTGTGGTCCAATTAATGCACTTTTTTCGGTTACACTACCACTGTAAGATTTAGGAAGTTAAATCTGGCTATATTCTGATATTTCAAGAGTTCTAAAGACTTTTTATTTATCCTACTAATATTATAACTGCGAAAATTTGTGAGTGTGTGTGTATGTTTGTTACTTCTTCACGCACAAACGGCTGAAGCGATTTTGATAAAATTTTGTATACAGGAAGCTGACGTCCAGGAATAACACATAGGCTACTTTACATCCCGAAAATCTCGGTAATCCGCGAGTACTACCGCGGGGCGTAGCTAGTATTAGTGTATTTTCCTTACGTTCTGTGTCGCTGGTGTCTGAGAGAGGTGGCTCGTTGGCCACGTACTGTCTCCCGGAGAGCAGGTTACTCTCAACCACGGGTCGTTTGTCCTCCAACTGACGACGGAAGGCACGGTGGTCATCCTAAATAGAATCACATACTGTTAGAAACCTCTTAAATTATAAAGGCTACATTTTGTATTGAGCTAGGCTTATACTGGTGTGAAATACTCTTGGACATTAAACTGCTCGACGGATTTTGATGAAAGTTTACAAAAGCATAACTTGGACATCAGAGTAATGTATTATTTAAATAAAAATGATGTTTTAAGCAAATTTGTTTTAAGTAAGTAAGTATGTTTGTGTTCAATATCGCACCGTCATTTGGGTATAAGAACAGAAATTACCAATTAAATATTAAATCTAGTACACATATAGATACGTTTGGAAGTTCAAGAGAAGCCGAGAGAAGAATTTAGTTAAGTAATAAATACAATACAATCTTTGTGAAAAGATAATTATTAACAAATATTTTCCAGTTTCATATTTCTTGAGAAGGGTTTAGTGTTGACGGATGAGCCTTACTGTACACTCGCTGACATATCATTTATATACAAAAAATCTAGATAATATACATATATATATAAAAATATAAAGTAACATACATCTAGAAGATAGTAATATGTTATTATTATAAATATATACCGAAAGTGAATGTACAAGCGTATTATAACATAAAGCCTCCCTGTTTAATATGAATATAGTTTTAATACATTCCATATCTTACAATTATTATAATCCGCTGAATAAAAACGTTAAGAGCCACATTTAAATAACAATATCTCGGTAATGGCGCGACGTCCGGACCGCTATCGCGACACTCGCGACGAAATGGACGCGGAACATTTACAACCCGTTTATAGGCGATGTTGTGGTTCATTCATTGTTTAATGTGTTACATTGTTTGGGCTGTAGTTACATAAAAAGTTTATACTATCATATGAATTAACATATAATCACCAAGTCAATTAGGAGATTACGTTTTGAGAGTTAGTGGTGGCCTAGTGGTTAAAGGGCCCGCCTCTCGTTGCCGAGGGCGCGGGTTCAAACCTGGCAAGTACCAATGTGATTTTTCGGAGTCATATGTACTTTCTGAGAGTATTTAGACATCACTGACATACGGTGAAGGAAAACATTGTGAGGAAACCTGGACTTATAGTTTCACAATTATAAGTTTGAAATCACCAACCCGTCTTGAGCAAGCGTGGTGATTAATGCTCAAACCTTCTCCATGTGAGAAAGAGGCCTTTACTCAGTAGTGGGCGTTGATAGGCTGATGACGTATTGAGCGTTGAACCAAATAAACGTGACCTTTCAATATCTTATGTAATTCATATCATTCACCTGTTGTTTAATGAGAGCGTTGAGGTCTCCTCTCGGTGGTGCCAGAGCGTTCAGCTCGGTGTCCTTCCTGATGACCCACTCGGTCAGTTCACGTAAGGACAGCAACAGAGCGGACCAGTGTTCGGCGTTGCTCTCCAGACGATTCCTGGTGATACAAATAACGATACATTATATATATGGAAAAAATGGGGTGGCGAAAGAATACCTTGGACTTACACGAAGATGACTACAATATTAGTTATATATTGGTAACATTTAAATCTTTAGCGAATTATCTTATTAGTTTTCTCTAAGAATAAAACCTGTAGCTTGGTTAAAGATCTTTTAATATTAGTTATAGAAGCATATTTGACCAAAACCAAGCACAGAGTTGTAGCCGTTGTATATTATTATGTTTATAATACATAGATATTCCGAAGAACGAACGGTGAATGTTATTATTTATAAATCTCTTTATAAAATGTTCATAGCACCACGAATCTAACTTATAATATCTTGAGACTTGTTTAATTTAAATCTTGGCAAGGAGAGGCCTCCTTAATTTTATTACCCCGAGTGTATCAGTGCTACCCTGTACCCTGTGCCCCGTACTACAGTATGTTACCCCGTGTCCCCGTGTTACCCCGCGAGGTAATGTTTCAGAACTCCGAAACAGTCGGCTCGGAGGATATAAATGTGTTACAATTGTTGGAAATTGGCCGACGCTCTCCTCCTTAATATGTTAAGCCGCGTCTGTAGATGAAACAGTGTTGGGAACCGGACTTGTCGATGATTTTATAAAAATAATAAATTTACCATAATATTAACTTTATCTTTAAAAAATCAAAAGTTTAATGAATGAAAGAGAAAACTCACAAAAAGTAAATAGTCATAGTACTACACTACAATATTTTGTGAAATAAAATTTATTAGTATTTTATTTTCTGGCTTATACATTCTTTACATTCTGAATTCCTTATACGATTTTTCCTATCATTTAAATATCGGTGAGTCGATATTTCCATTTCACATCACTACTACTACAATGGTATAAATCTCGACGTTTGCAAAGAATTCCATTCTGGCACGAGGTTTATACTTTAAGAACTACTTGAATATGCAATTACCGTCTTTAATATGTCTTATTGCCATGGATTAAGGTTTTTAATCGCGCGTCCTACAGAATACAGCCTAACCATTAAGTTTATGCAAGATCCTAACAATGCTTTAGTCCTTATTTCTATACATAAAAGGATGATTTCGCAATGACAACGAGAATGCGGTTTGGTTGGCATATTAAGGGATTTTATGCTACTTTAGTACGTTTAAATTTATTTATATTTTTTCGGGTGATATATCGGATTTCTTCAATATTATTGTATTATTGTCACACTGCAAGATTTAATATCTTAAAACTTAAAAACATAAGTGTTGGTCGCCCGTATAGGACAAAATAACGATCGCAGGCTCCGCGGAGAATATCTTTAAATAAACATTAAATTTATTCGTGATATATAAGTTTCAGTACATAATATATACTAATAGTACGATCAAGGAACACTGTGTATGAATATTTTCACAATGAATGACGTATGACTGAATCGGTTGATATTAGGAATAAAAGAATTAGGGGCACGCCCCAAGTGATATTCAGTACGTCCCCGTCGTGTGCCCTGGACCCCTTCCTGACCACCGTAACGGAGTGGCAGGTTGGGTGACCGAATCTGAATATCGAGACTTGTGGTTTTCGGAGCACTTTCGCTGTTATTTGATCCTTTCCACTTGGTGCGCGGTAACGCAGTGGCCAGTGGGAGGTGACTAGTTCGCTGCTCTCCAAATTGTATTATTTTTGTGTTTGATCCCTTACTGACTTGGCTTGCCTACTGGACTTTGCTTCTTTAGTGGTGTGGATCTTTGAATTTGTATATAATATATTATAGTATTAGTGTAAGTAGGGTAGTATATTATAGTATTTGTAGTTGTATATTATAGTATTAGTGTTTTAACTGTTTAATTTCTGTGTTGTGTAAGAGGTTGGGGGAAAAAACATTCATTCCCCAACAGAATCAGTCTTGGGCAGGGCCCTGGACTGGACCATGTCAGAAACCTCCGAGTTGTCGGACAGGAGAGGGGAGGCTCCGCGAAGAGTCTCTCCAACCTATCGGCATAACAGAGGCAAGGCAGCTGCTAGCTCCAGTGGAGTGGATTCCATGGTTAACCCGAGGAAAAGGAAGGACTCGGACTCTGAGGCGGACTTGACGTCGGATTTCCCGAACACGGTCTCGCCGAAAGTCCTCAGAAGTATGACCGGCAGAGGGACCTACCACAATACTGCTTCGTCCCAAGCCAGACGTGAGAGGAGGGAAGCGGCGATATTGGACACCGACTCCGAAGCAACCGCTACCGAAATAGAGAAAGACCAGACGCGTTCCCCCAGAAGGGTGCAGGGTAGGAGGTCGCCAGACACCTCAATGGCGGACCTAGTTACTAAGACGAAGATGAGTTCCGATAGGATTTTGATGCTGGTGTCTAGTTCCAAAAATCTAAAAGGAACCATCAAGAAGGAAATCAAGGAGGAATCAATGGCAATATACCAGCTAGTTAAATCCATTGCTGAAAGGTCCACGAGCGAGGAGCTTAAGAGGGTGCAAGCCGACAATAAGAGGCTAAAGGGCCAGCTGTCCGCATTAGAGCGCGAGGTGGTCGCGCTTAGGCAAGCATTTGCTGAGCGCGGCAACCAAAGGGAGAAGCCTTCGAGTGAGGTGGAAGGCACAGTAGAGGAGACGCAGGCCAGCAGCCCTGGTGAAGGCGTCACTAGGATGGAGCTGGCAATAGTTATGGAGCGTTTTCAGAGAGAGCTGAGTGAGCAGTTCGGACGCATCCTGGGTGCCCGCTTGGAAGGGCTCGAGGTAGATGGTCGACTCCTTCCAGGCGTCTCGCATCGTCCAGCGTTGGCATCTGACACCGGAAAAAGGAACCACAAGCCAGTCGATGCGCCCACCACTCTTATCCCACCGGCGAACATGCCAAAAGAGGCGAGAGCCAAAAAGGGGGCAAAAACAAAGGCTGTGGAAACGACCTCAAGGCGAGCTGCAGAGCAGATAGCTGGTCCCTCCTATCAGGAGACACAAGTGGTGCTGGAAGGATGGACTACAGTTGTGAAGAAGGCAAAGCCCAAGAAGTCCCCACCAGCTCCCTCTACCGCCAAGGCTTCAAGGAAGAAGCTTTCCCTGCCGAAACAGCCAAAATCCTTAGCTGTAGTCGTGGCCCTAAAACCAGAGGCCGTGGCTGAGGGCATTACGTACAAGGATGCCATCGCTAAGGCCAAACAGTCGGTCAGCTTGCAAGAGCTGGGAATTAGCTCAACTAAATTTCGGACGGGGATGACGGGGGCTCGAATTATTGAGCTCCCCAAGGAGGTCACTGCCGCCCAGGCGGACAGCCTTGCGTCAAAGATTGGCCAAGCGCTAGGGGATGCCGCCAAGGTGACACGCCCCAAGAAGATGGTAAACGTCAGAATTTCTGGCCTAGATGACTCGGTGACTCCGGAGGAAATCTGCCTGGCGCTGGCGGACAATACTGGAGTCTCCCCGAACGACTTTAAGGTCGGGCTAATTACCCACGGGTACACTGGGGTAGGCTCTACCATAACTGCCTGCCCCATTGAAACCATTGCCAAGTTGGCGGAAGTAGGTCGGCTATGTGTGGGCTGGAGCGCTGCTACCATCAGGGTTCTAGAGCAGCGCCCAATGCGATGTCATCGGTGTTACGACATAGGACACCCGCAGCAGTTATGCCCCTCTAACAAGGATCGTAGTGGATTATGTTTCCGCTGCGGAGAAGAGGGGCATATATCTAAAGATTGCACAGCCGCACTATGCTGCGCAGTGTGCAAGGACCGGGGATTGGCATCGGGTCACCGCATGGGCGGAGTCCATTGCAACCCTCCTCCGGTAAAGGGCCGCCCACTACCATGGCGAACAGCCCCTAGTTCTTCGGCCACGTCGGCCGCCCCTGTAGAAACACCTATGGAAACCAACAATGCCAGTTAGGCCCATAGGTAAAATTCTGCAGGGGAACTTAAACCACTGTGTCGCAGCACAGGACCTCTTGTGCCAGACTGTGGCCGAGTGGAACATAGATGTTGCCATCATCTCGGAGCCACACTCTGTGCCTCAGATACACAAGTGGGCCGGGTCGGTGGATGGCTCCGCGGCTATTTTATTTCCTGGCACGGCCCACACCCACTCTGTTGTGGAGAGAGGAGCGGGCTTTGTGGCAGCTCAATGGGGAGGAGTAGTGGTGGTCTCCACATATTTCTCCCCAAACCGTAGCCGGGCTGACTTCGTGTCGTTCCTGACAGCGATCGAAGGTGTCATCCTACGGGCGGCTCCGAATCCGGTGCTGGTGGCTGGGGACCTAAACGCGTGGTCTCGCGCTTGGGGCTCTACCAGGCGTAACGCCCGTGGTGGTATCCTGGAGTCTTGGGTTCTGTCCTTGGGACTCCAGGTCCTCAATAGAGGCACCACCCCAACCTGCGTCCGGTGGCAAGGCACATCCATAGTGGACGTGACCTTTGCCACCCCGTCACTGGCCGCCCGCATCAGGGACTGGCGGGTGATGGAGGAAGCGGTGACCTTATCGGACCATAAGTACATCCGATATGAGGTCTCCCCAGCACACTCAGGGACCACTATACGTCTGGGTCCTAGATCACCCTTCCCAAGGTGGTCACTGGTCCGCTCCAGCCCGATGTGGCTGAGGAGGCAGCGATGGTGAGAGCTTGGGCTGAAGTGCCCGACACTATTGTTGAGGATGCGGACCGCATGGCAGATCTTTTCGCGGACGATATTAAGGTTGTCTGCGACGCCGCCATGCCGAGGACGCAAGCCTGCTCCCGAAACAGAGGGCAGGTATACTGGTGGACGCAGGAACTGTCCAGCCTTCGTACCGCTAGTATGGGAGCCAGGCGAGCATACCAGCGTTGCCGTAGACGCTCCCGAGGAATGTCCGGTGTAGAGGAAACTTTATACCGGGCCTACCAGGACGCAAACAAGGCGTTGAGGTTGGCCATTAGAAAGGCAAAAGAGGATGCCTGGGACCAGTTCCTCGGTATCCTGAACAACGACCCCTGGGGTAGGCCCTACCGGATGATTAGGGGGAAGTTCAATACTCCAGCTTCCCCTACCTCCAGTATGGAGCCTGGGCTGCTTCGGAGGGTGCTGGGGACGTTGTTTCCCGATCCTGGACCTTTTGCACCTCCGCGCATGTCAACCGCCGATTTCGCTCAGGGGGGAGCGGGTTGACGGCCCCCCCGTGTCGGATACTGAGTTCGGCATGATCCGTTTGAGGCTCCGATGCAAAAGCAAGGCGCCGGGGCCGGATGGGGCTCACTCCAAGGCGATGGCTATCGCTTTGGGGCCACTGGAGAACCGGTACCGCGCACTGCTTAACACCTGTATTGCGACGGCCCGATTTCCCAGGCGATGGAGAATAGGGCGGCTCTGTCTGCTCCGTAAGGAGAGCCGTCCAGCGGATGCCCCAGAGGGCTACCGGCCAGTTGTGTTGCTGGATGAGGCGGGGAAGGCTTTTGAGAAGATTCTCGCCTCCCGCATCATTCAGCATCTGGAAGGTAGGGGGCCGGACCTGGCGGAATGTCAATACGGCTTCCGCAGGAGACGGTCCACAATCGACGCGGTGAGTCACCTCAAGAGGTGGACTGAGGCGGCTTTTGACAGGAGGGAGGTGGTGATCGCGGTGTCACTGGACATCGCGAACGCGTTTAACACCATCCCCCACGAATGTATTACGGAGGCGCTCAAATATCACCGAGTGCCTTCGTACCTTCGCGCCATTGTCGGGGACTACCTGCAGGACAGGATGGTCCTCTACGAAAACGCGGAGGGCCGCGTCGAGTCATGGAGGGTGGCGGCAGGAGTACCTCAGGGTTCCGTATTAGGTCCTCTATTATGGAATCTGGGGTACAATTGGGTGTTGCGAGGCTTAAAGCCGCCGCGCATGGATGTCATCTGCTTTGCAGATGACACGCTAATCACGGCGGCAGCGAAGAGTTGGGACGAAGTGATCCGCCGCGCGTCATTCAACACCTCCTTGATCGTGCGGCGCATTCGTCTGCTGGGTCTGCAAGTGGCCCTCAACAAGACGAGGGCCATCTCCTTCCATGGCCCACGACGAGGAACAAGAGAGGAGCTCAAAGTCCTGGTAGAGGGGGTCCTAATTTCTATCGAGGGGCATGTGAGGTACCTCGGCCTTACGCTGGACTCTCGGTGGAGCTTCGTGAAACATTTCGAGCTCCTAGCTCCCCGGCTGTGCGCCGCCGCAGCCAGCTTAGGTCGGCTCCTTCCCAACGTGGGAGGGCCGAATACAAAGTGTCGTCGTCTGTATCACGGGGTGATACGGTCGATGGCGCTATACGGAGCACCGGTGTGGGCTGAGTGCCTCAAACCCCGCACGCGAGCCCTTTTGTGTAGGCCGCAAAGAATTATCGCGTCCCGAGCTGTGAGGGCATATCGAACGGTGAGCCACGGGGCGGCCTGCGTGCTGGCGGCCATGCCTCCTCTGGACATCGATGCACTTGTGCTTGCGGAGGTGTATCGAAGCAGAGTTGAGGCACAACAGCGGGGTGGAGCGCCTGCTTTTGTAAACATAGAGCAGGCCCGAGTAGAGGCCCAGAGAGAGGCACTACACCGGTGGCAGGAGGCACTTGCCAATCCCACCGCTGGTCACTGGACGATAGAGGCTTTTCGTCCAGTATTAGTGGAGTGGGTGAGGTGCCAGCGGGGCAGCCTAACCTTCCGTCTGGTGCAGATCTTGACTGGACATGGTTGTTTCGGTCACTATCTGCACCGGGTGGCAAGAAGAGAGGAAACGCCGCAGTGTCACCACTGTGGCGATCCTGACGATACGGCCGAGCACACCCTATCAGTGTGCCCGGCATGGAGAAATGAGCGCCGTGTACTCACTGCGGCGCTCAGCGGGAGGATCCTGTCGCTTCCAAACATGGTGAAAGCTATGGTTGGAAGCCAGGAGGCTTGGGAGGCTGCTGCTTGTTTCGCCGAAGCAGTAATGTCGGCGAAGGAAGCTGCGGAGAGGGAGCGGGAGGAGGATGCTCTAGCTGCTCCCCTCCGGCGTAGACGTACGGGTCGGAGGAGACGGGTGAACCTGTAACCTTCGACCTGGAAGTTCGACCAGCCTGCGTCAAGTGGCACTGATGCAGGCATTGCACGTGGTCAACACGTCTGGGGATTATCTCGGCTCTCCCGGGTAATCCCCCATCGGCGCGGTAGCCCGGCACAGTAGCTGGGCAGCCCGGGGGTGAATTGGTGAATTGCAATAGCAGGTCCCAAATCGCCCCCAAATACGGGCAGGAAGGGAAGCCGGGGAGTTTTAGTGGGTATTCCCAGGGCCAACAACATCAGGCTCTGGGCGACCCCCACACAAGTCCCACTGTCGAGCCAGGGCAGTGGGTAGTCTGTAAGCGGATTTCTCCCCGAAAAAAAAAAAAAAAAAAAAAAAAAAAAAAAAAAAAAGGAATAAAAGAATTAAAAATATTTTATTATTATGATACGAAATGATCAAAAAAAGCAAGGCGTGCTTCCGAGGTGACCAGAACTTTGACGTCCCGACTGTATTACAATCAACACTTTGTTACTTATCATTATTAAAAATATAATATTAAAATAATTTACAAAAATATTCCGCGGATATAATTTTTTTTAGTGGACATAATTATAACTCTTGTACATTATATGTGTATATATTGTACAATAATTAGTTGAAATCTAATTTAGGGACCTAGATACTTTTTTATCGTTATTAAGAGTAAGTAGTAGTCACCATTATTAATATAACCCGCACTTCAATTGATTCATCGGTTGAATAAATACGTTACCTATCAAACGACATGTTTATAAATATTTATGTGTCGTTATCAGAGTGAAGCAAGTAGAAACATATAAAACCTGGGAGTGGAGGGTGGAGGGGGGAGGGGGGAGGAGGTTGAGATCATAAAGAAGGACAATAAAAGACGCAATCTCAGTTTTATTTCACTATCAAATCACTAAACATCTGTCTTCGCGGAGTATGAATATGAGATTACTACGAGGAGGGTAAAGGTCATGGGCCACGGGAGGGGAGAAAACATTCAGAGTAATAATTAGGTATATGTCATAGAAACAAAACAATATACACTGATAAACATATAGTGAAAAACATTTAAAATTAACTAACATATGTATGTATTTTAGTTTTTAACTGCTATATCATGTTGTATGGACGGAGGGACATATGAATTCAGTGTGAACTAACATCAATAAAATATGTAACAATAATTTAACCAGAATATAATATGAACACTACACACTACACAGTTATCTGTTAACGTTTGAATATAAATATTTAACAGCTTCCTAACGACAATCTCATGTTTATGATCTACTTTATAAAACATCATTGTATGTAACATAACTCAAAACCTAAAAGCCTTAAGTTGTATGTTTTAAAGTAAATAATTATGAACTATTTATATTTTTAATCAAATACTAATTAAATTAAGATGTAAAAGCACAAAAAGATAGATACTTTAGTAAACTATAGAGAATTAGAGGCAAATAATTAATCAGCTTTCCCAGACATATACTTTTTGATTAATGTAACTGAATTATTATTTATACTTTAATTTTATTTTTGTGCATTTTGTGCAGACTAGAGATAAGGAGGCAGTAAAGACTCGCTGTAGTCAATAAAACTGCATTAATGAGGGCCCTCGTACAGAATATTGGATTATGACGTCTGCGTTTAGTCTCATGATGCTGAAACCCCTTCTTATCACAATCCCAATATTACTATTTTTGTGTCTGAATCCTAATAATGTTCTGACACACCTCACCAGGCCAACCGTTTTTTTGTTGTATAACTTAATATTTTTAATATATTCATCATCATTCAATGTGTTATATGGCGTATTTTAATTCAATCATGATAGGTTATATTATTTGGAGAGAAGCCGAAATTCATGTAGTATTTTGTAAAAGGTAACAATTTAATGTTCAAAAGATTTCCTAATAGGAAACTCCGTAACAATCCGTCGAGGAATGCGGCCCCTGGATGGATCACGTCGGTTTTACACACAAAGCCTTTGAACTGGATTGTTGGTCAAATAATTGTTTTGCATTTTTTGTCCGCGATCCCTCCCGACTACGTCAATATCTGTGACATTTCCATTTTGAAATTATGCACGGATTATAAATTGCAAAGTCAGTCGGAATGTTTAAAAAAAAAGTTTCCATTAAAATCCTGTAAAGAATTATTGGCAATTTTCAATCTGTGATATAAATGTGCTCACTTTTTCGATAACTGAAACAGATGTCTCTTAAAACGGCCGATGGAAATTAACTTCGTGACAGGTATTTATTGAATCTTGGACGACTGGCGTTTATAAATAGAATCACTTAGACGTTTGTTGGAGACAGTTATAGACTTATCAATTTGAACATTCATAATGACAGTTTACGACGGATACTTGTTTGAGTGAAAGAGACTCATTAACATTGTCATAAAAAATCTGTTTAAAAAATAACAAGTTAGATAACAAAGAACTAAATATATTTTTTATAACAAACAGACGTCAATAAAGCCGCCATTTTGTTACAAAACAAACGATAACGCTTTTACCGTAACGCGATCCGTCATGTGAGGAGTGACGTCGGGAATGTGTTCTGAAAGCTTTATGGTACAAAACACAATTTACATTTTAATTGATATATGAATCTAAAACATTGCCACGGCTCGGCGCGGTGAACGATACCGCCTGATATATAGATAGGGTTCTTTGTACGAGTTAATACGGACTCACCAGACGGGCGAGGTAAGTTTGTTATCCGCAATCAGTCATATCTTGGCTAAGGCAATTACGCTGCGGTACTAATTGATATTAAGCGACCGATAACTCACTCGGTACCGCTATAAACAGATTATAGTTACACCTTTCGATGTTCAACTCAATGGATTGATAAATTTAATGGTCAGATACGGATAAATGAATAAAGACTTTATACTAAGTATAGATATAGTCTAATTTTATACGTATTTAATAGGAGTGGTATGGTACTCACCTGATGGCCATGCTCTTCGCTTTAAGGTGGTGCCACCTCTGGTTCATCTCGTCCAGTCTCCTCTGCAGCATGACAGCATCCTCCTGGGATGACAACGAGCCCAGCAGACGCCGGCCCGTGCCAGTGAGGGACGCGTACACATCGCGATGAGTCTCTATCTCTGATTGTAGATCCTGAAGCAAACAGATACAAGTTACAAATTGATTTAAAGTGTATTTGAAAGAAAATAAATAAATTATTAGGTAAAAAAATATATATCTTTTTTTTTAGTTTCACATAAGTTTATTACATACATTAAACTGAATTCCGTGCTTATAGTAGTAATATATACAAAAAATTAAACTTAAGCTGAATTTTACAAAAAACGTGATATTAAATAAAAATTATACATAAGGATTCAGAAGAAAAACAATCCACGAACCTATAAAAATCATAATTTTTTTTTCAATAATGGCAATGATCCGCTCAAAATGAGACTAAATAGAAATAAGCTTTTCTATAAGTGACCACAAACAAAAATAAATATAAAAAAATAAACAATTTTCTCGCAAATCCCAACAAATATAACATTATTCAAGACAAATTATAGCTCTTGAGAAAAAAGAGGCTCTCCCACAAAGCCGAGGATTCTTAAACAAATTGTTGTTATTTGGAGAAGGACGAGCGACTTGATTCATGTAGATACTCACTATCAACTATCAACAAAAGGATGTTTAAACGACTCCACCGATAATATAGAACACAGGAAATAATAAATTGATTCCCAGTGACAGAGGAGCGATATTATACTCACAAACAAACCAAGTCTCTAGTCAGGTATTACTGAGTCAAATAGTTATTGAAGATATAAAACATTTATTGTATTTAAATTTAATATCGTAGAGAAATTTGGTCTCTTTTTAAGAAACGATACGGAATTATTACTTAAAATATATTTAACTAACACACGGAACGTGCAATTAGTAATTTTCCATTAAAAAGTTCACGAGCACTTAAAGCACTGAACCCTTTAGAAGCGGTCGCTTGCTCGGATTCCCTTAATTCGACGTAAATTTACTTGTTTGTTTCGAATTTGAAAACAGCTCCGAGTTATACTTTGCAGTTTGTGATGTTCTTGTAAAGTTTATAAGGTCTAATATACTTAACACCTTAAATACAAGTTGCGACTTGATATTTTCATTACCTCAATAGGAAGTGTGTAATCGTGTTTGAGGATGGTATGAAGTCACGATTATAATATTGATTGTGTGTTTTACAAAACTAATAACCATTGGAATATTAATATTCATGAGACGTCTCCAACCCTCGGAGGCATAACACGACATCCTTAACGTAGCGAGGCTTACGTTCACGTGATCGACACGTTATAATAATTACGTTGAACCGAACGTAACCAGCAGAATAAATACTATAAACAAAAGTCAGTTCAGTTGTTATATATTAAAAAGTAAACAGTGACTTCGATGAAATAATACCATTGGGAATCGATATATTGAAAAACGTAAAGCAATGATTGAAAATCACCGCAGATATGGAACGATTAACCGAATACAAAAATTCGTTCCCATAATACAATGTAATAAAACAGAGAAGTATTCATTAAATATACAATCGGCTCGTGAATCGGTGGAAATCGGTCGTCGATACAAATTAAAAGGTTTGCTAGTTTTAAACCGATATTGAATTGTTCAATCAGTGTATTTTGTTGTTACCAAAAATATTCAATAAGTTTTAAACGAACAGATCATGAGAGAGTTAGAGATTTGTCATGATGGATTGGAAGTTAAAGAGTCAGAAAATAAATTAAGGCTGATGTCTAACCTTCATAGGTTAATTAAAAAAAGTGACCTTAAAGGTTACCTGGATCACCTTAGTACCAAATATTTTATAATATATGTATATTGTTTTTGAACAGAGAGATTTTCAAGTACCTGTAGAAAAATCACTTATAAAATATTAGCGAATCAGACTTAGTGGGGCTATCAAAAATAAATAAAGAGGCGTGCTAGAGGTAGTATAATATTCGGTGAACTACTACTCGACGACGAGTTACTTTTGATAATAACACTAGAAGCGCCCTGATCACAATAATTGTCTTTAAAGAAATCACTCTCAGAACAGTATATTGACAAATTATTTACTTATAAATAAGAATACATAAATTCCTTAATATATTAATGTAATCTTTTCTATACAAGTTAAAATTTCGCAGATCATATTATAAATAAACCTAAAATGGGATCAAGTCAGTATATTTTTCGTTTTTTATGTTGAAGCCGACGTTTCCATTACATTTCAGTAACTATGTTAGCGGGAGCAGCAGATGAATCTGTCTGTCAGTTAGTCTTGTTATTTGTCATCTAACGCCAGAGATTTCTTAATTTACTCCCGTATTGCTCTGGATGCAAGTAGAACGCGGTAATCGTGTCTTGAGCTCTTGCAATGCGAGGTTAAAAATAGGAAATGAAACTTACTTGAGGTGACATGAAAAATAAAGTTTTATTTATACATATACAGCTTGCCTGAATCTTAGGAATAATTATGTGAAACAGTATTTAAAAAGTACTTCTAGACTAAGAATCTAAAGTACATACCTCTTCAAATTTTCCTTCGAGGTCCCGAGATTACTTAACAATGGTAAGTTACCAAATATCGTTTAAAAATTTCTACGTATACCGTTCAGCTCAATCATCGTTTTATTATTATTTAGTTAACAAAAGATTTTGATACTTATTTGTTAATAGCTAAGTTTATAATTCATAAATACAATATCTTAAGAAAACAAATACATACCTATATAAACGTAATATATCAATTGGAAATAAGGGATCACCTTAGTACGTAAGGTAATGCTAGCAAATCTTTATTTCAGAGAACACTTTTGTGAGGCTAAACATCGTCTAAAGGGAACCCCAAGAATAATCTGACCGCGTCAGAATCATTAGGAGTGACCTATACTTGAGAGACAACCTGCCACAGTAAAATAATTAAAGAGATTCATTGTAAGAAAAACATTGTCTTATCTAAAGAAAAGCTTCAATTAATATGTTATTTAAACCAATGAATAGTGTTATTTCGTCATAAAAATACGCTTGTATATAAATTTGAGTGACATAGTGGCGTGTCACACGTTTGATAAATGATGCGAGGCTTCAGTGACAGCGGTTAAAGTGTAGTTGTGGATACAACAGGTTAAAAAAGATGACTATATACCCTATGTTAATAATATGGTTATAATGAACTAGTTGAATTACATTTGGTGATTAATTTAATTATATTAGCTACCGATAACAATAATAAATTTGACTTCAAAAGATTTGTGTTGTTGAATCACAGACGACGAAAAAACATTAGAGAGATTAAGTTCTCAGCCAAGATTGACAGAGAGTAAGATGAACGAGCGAGTAAATGAAGATGCGAGCGGAATTAAACTAAATGTAACTTCATGATGACTGGATTAATGAAGTAGAAAAGATATCTGTTCAGATTCAAGTAATTAGTGGCTAGGAAACTAAAACATGACATTATAGACAAAAATACTCTTTACATGTACTAAAACAGAATCGAATTTACAAAAACGTTTATGTTATACGACATTGAATAGTAAATAATGTCATGATTACAGTCTAGAGTCGTTACAGCGACTGTAAAAAATAGTTTAAGCATTTACAGCATAATCATAGTGAAAGCCATTCGGTGTTAGCGATAGAAGCTTCTTAAGATCTTTATAATGTGACTTCAAACTTATAATATGAATATTGTAACCCATACTTTCTTTAAAAATAAATATACAACGAAAATAGTTGAAATTTTACAATATTTGCATGCATCCAAATATTCAAATATGATATTATTTTAATATCTCCATGCAACAGAACCGGTTACAGCCGAATTAAACATGTTGGAAGCAGTTTAAACCAATATCACGTACGACGCAGGTTAGGAGCTAGGCGGGTCGCAAGAAGCAAGACGCTCAGCAAATACGAAATACGATCTAGAATAATTTAATAGTATTACTATATGTATTATTATATGAAATAATGTTGTCAGAAGACAAACACATCTTTAAAATATTTACTTCTCTGTAACGACGCCAATATCCATTTACAATAAACGTGTAATCAATAAATCAATGAATGATATACATTTGTTTGCATTATATATCCGGTTGTATTCTTTTAACCGGTTACAACAATACAACCGGTTACCAGATACACGAAGCTTTGAAGATACTCTTCAGAATATTAAGTGCCTGTGAATTGTATTGAATTACTTTGAAATTCAAATATGTCCATTGATTTATCGAAGCCACGTAGGCACTTACGATGCGGGCTTTATTACATTCGACATCTATTTATTGTTTCAAATTATGTAACATATTTTTAATATCAATTATATACTGACATATATTTATGAATACCTGTTTTTTTTGTTCTCTTTAGAACAATTTGTAATATGTATTTTGTTTTTCTATTTTGATGAGAGGATTATTTTTCATTAAGTGTGCCATGCCATGTGCCAGTAATCTTTTTTTAATTTAGCAAAAATTTTCTGCACTAACGATATTTATAAAACAAAGTAATACGGTTTGTCATTTATAAATTTTACAATTTCTTAAGTAATATAAAATAAAATAGTTGATGAAGCAATAAATGTAGAGATAATTCTAAAAGTATTTCGTTTAGTTTGCTGACAAGATAAAATAGCACAAAACGAATTGAAAAGAAGTCAAATCTTGTGCTACATAAATTCTTACAAACCAAAGATAGTTGGTATCAGTGAATGAGCAAGTTGGCGAACTAACTCGTCTGTGAGGATAGGGATACCAAGTGACGCTTCCTACAGGGACACAGAATCGACAAGCTTTACACTGGGCAAGAGTTCTTGAACTTAGTTTTCCTGTGGTTGGAAAATGTGTTTGTCCTCTGTCATTGTGATTGTAAATATTTAAGTTTTTTATGTGAATTTATGTAGCAATAATACATTACTCCATGAGCTTTTTTGCACACAAATGCTATCAATAAAAAAGTTTGGTGACGTCGTAAAAATAAAAAAAACTATGTTCTCAAAATAAGAACAAGTTAAAGGAAGGCCATTGGAACGTTCGTAGTAAATTTAGTCTGACACCGCAGTCTAGTATCAAATTGCTTTCTCAGCCATTTTGAGTCCATCACCAAATCGAGTTAGGTCTGGCCACCCTACTCCCAGGTCGTTATCGCAGGTGCCCGGGCCGGTTATATCCAGTTAAATCCTGTTACAACCGGTTACCAGCGTAAGGATTACCGCCTTGATCCGGTTTTCAGTCGTTTGCGACTTGATTTATTCACTTTCAGAATTTTTTTTTTGCTGTCGGGTTAGGTAATGTTATTTTAGGTTATTTTTCCAGTTTGATTTGTGTTAGAGTTTATTTAGTCCCTTACGCTTTTGCTCACAGTAAGAGATAGCAATCGTAGCATTTTCTTTAATAACTCTGATAACGAAGAAAAAAAAAGAACTTATTAATCATTGATGTGCGAATTTTTGAATCATTAAGTTACCATACAAAAAACCAAGATGTAAATGAAAATTTCTTTGGATTGTAGCCGGTTAAGTGAAAATTTCACAAAAATATCCGATCTAAAATAACTGGGAAATGAACAATCAATAGTAGAAACATTCGACTAAATATACTCATTTATATTAATCCACGTATTAATGCGCGCATTATACAATAATGTTTGTATAATGAGATGATAAACGCACGTTACAAACACAACATTATTTAAATCACTGAAGGAATCATTCCAACAACGCGGTGCACTTGCTCAAATGAACGAGAATGTAAATCCTATACCGTCAGCAGAAGCGAACAGAGATAAACTTTTTCGAGTAGCTATCCCTTACTAGCGGTAACACGACATGCGATAAATGACGACAAAATTAAACAATGTTATAATAGTAAATATTAATAAATTAATAAAAAGATATAATAGAAGGAACAACCCTAAACACGTACGTCACCCACATTAAATCGGTTGAAAAATGTCAGGGGTGACAGTGGAATATGATTTGTGCCGCCCCTGGTACGTGCTATGTCCGGTTTTCAGTTCGGTTAACCGGTTTAATACGGTTCATTAGCGATTCGCTCCGCGGTTGCCGAATATTCAGCGCGTTCACTTATGCCAGTCTTATCCGACTGTGATTAGCATATATTATCCTTTAATATGATTTCACAAAATTGTCATTGTCGTTCACAGAAATTTTATGACAGATATTTAATTTAAAGAAGGCCTTTGAAAATACTGATCTAATAAATTATAAATACAACGTAGAAATAATAGTATTAAAATAATTTAATTTATAATAAAGGACAGCAATATTTATACAGATATAATATTATGAAATCAATTTTAGTTCATTAACGTCTAAATATAAGAAATCCAATGGTGAAGTTAACCACACCACCTGAAGTGGTCGTTCGTGTATTACAACAAACCCGAGAACAAACATCGCGTCTCTGGAACTAGCGACTGTTACTAACTCAAATACAGCGACTGAAGCTAGATGTTATGTTGTATGCAATTTAATATTCACAATATTTCAACACGGTACAAACGAAATATACATAATTTTTATCCGTTATGAACATTACAGCTATAACTTATTTTCATTTTCAACTTTGTATATTGTAAAGAATATAAATGTAATAATATTTTAATAAAAATAATCCGAGTATCATATTAAACAAATATAATAAAACAAGTCATTAATAACAGTTATAGTGGTAGGATGCAAAGTGCCTGCGAAATACTGAACCTTATTTATTGCACGAACAAACAACGGAACTGTCTATTCAACGTGTAAATAATATGAGACAATGTACTCTATTACAAAGAGATAAGGCAGCAATTACAATGCAAGGCAACCACATTAAACTGACAACTAGAAAGCCGCGAGTCCTTAAGCCTGGCGTCAATTTAACGATACCTGGCATAACGCACACCTGGGTACACCCACACCCACACCCTCACCCACACCCCTCACCCTCACTGTCACCCTCACACCCTCCGGCGACCGTGTACATTATGTTAAATAACATTACAACACTAGCCTTTGACCAGGTCTTCCTTAGACCGTTCTTCTTCTAATATATATCTTTCATAATTATTAGAGTTACATATATTGGCCTTTAGTAAATGTTAATTTCCAAAAACACTACGTATTTTGTCCTTCAAACTGGCCTTTTATTAGCTGAAAGTCTAATTGAAACTTATTCAGCTGCGTCACTCATTTTTTTCATATCTTATGTATGTTATATATATGTAGATATTATGTAGGCACTTCATGTACAAATAGGTATTTAAATTTTAACTAGTTCATGAATTCCGATAACTAATTCGATCCAACGGATTCCTTTTAATTTTGATGTTTATTATATAGCTCTTACATATTAGCGATTTATGGAACAAATACTATCTTGTTTGAGAGGGACTTAAACACACAATATCAGCCTAACGTATTTGATGCCTTATTTGTAACTAAGTCATAAAACACAAAGAGATGTATAAATTGTAATACGATATGACTTAGGATTTTTTTACTCTTAAAGTTTGAAAGTTTTTGGAGAAGCACAAATAAAAACGGGTACATTAATATAGAAAACACAAAGAAACGTCTTGAAGTTGGTCAATAAAAGATCCGTTACAATGTTCCCGTAAGATATGGAAGATAAATCATAAAACCTACAAAGAAGCGGCTAAGAATAGAGATGACCTGACTAGTACTGTTTTCCTTACAATTAAGGACCTCTATATTTTTCGTTTATGGATTTTTGTTAGATTTTCATTTCATCTCAATGACTTAACTGGACTTCATTGTATAAAAATGTCGGTCATCGTGTAATCTGACCTCTAGAAGTAATACACGGTCAGGTGGCGGGCTATAAATCTTTCTTAAAGGACGTTTAAGATGAATGACCAGTGTGTCAATAATAATGAGTCTCGGATACACGAAACAATATATTATATTGTCCATTAATTACACAACGAAAATAAGAGGACGCGTCATACGTCTTAAATATTACACGAGTGACATGATAACTAAACTATTATATTTTAATACAAAGAATTAGTACATAAGTAGTTGATCAATGTTTATTTTATAGATAACTGATATAGTGAAATAATATACAAAGGGTGCGTCCGAAAAATATGTTAAATATTCCACATCATATGTGACGTTCATATCTTAATGTTCAACCCCTGAGGTTCCCAAAAAGATTGTATCGAAAGGGAGTCGACCTCCGACCTTTGTTAAGGATGTTACGTATTGTTGGAAATATTGTCAAAGAGAAATTATTGATGACACCCACCCGCCTTTAAACGGTTTTTAATATATGATACATTCATATTATTCGTCAGTATTAAAAATGATTCCGTTCTAATAATATTCATGTTATATTAGTATGTTTATATAACCGTCTCTAGTGGTGTGTGGTGTGTCCTCGATCACGGTCCTCCCGGAGGCTGTATTAATGCTGTTTGCTCGCGCTATCTCGTAAAAACATCGTAATATCAGTGTAGAGGGACGCAGCTCGCCTCACTCGTCAGTTTTAACCCTGTTTGCGCTGAGCAAACCAATTTATCAATGCCCATATCCATTATTAACGGTGTGTACTGGCATCGTAGAGGGTTAACTAAGTTTCGATTAACTTTTATAATTGAATATATCAAGACCTTGCAGTTCCAGCCGTGGTCGAATCGTAGATGGATCACACGATTCTGGTTTGTCAAGTAATCACAGAAATAACTTACCGACTTGGTTTTTTTTTTTGGTATACTCTTAATATCGTGTGAACAGCTGGATATAGTCAATAGTTAGTTCATAATTACAATGTCAAAAGACTCACCGATTCAAAATGTCTCATCTCAGCCAGCAGGAGGAAGTTGATATGAATGAACCTGGCGTCCTCGTAGGACCTGGCCCTCACTCGATAGCCAGGCTTGTTATAGTAATACTTGTAACCCGTATACTCCGAACTGTCTACGTTCACTTTAAGAGCACCTCTGTAACTGTAATCACCACCACATCGATGACACAGGCCCTCGGTGACGAACTGTTCTAGAGGCCCGGCCGGCCCCCAGCGAGGTCGGCCGGGCCATGTGTCGGAGCTGGTCCGAGGCCGAAGCCCTTGTGGACTCCTTCGCAGCTTCCACTCTTCGATGTTCCTATCAGCTGCCTCGGGCCGCCATCTCCATTTCGAGATCACTGATTCTGATTGTTCACTTTAAATTATATCCGCTTAAACATTTCTTGCGTTCTTTTCCGTTTTTCACAGTACGCGGTTCTCATTTATAACTATTAACCAAGCACGTGTTAATTTTTTTTGCATCACTTTTGTCGAGAAGTGTCAATGGAGCTTGAAACGCGAAAAAGGAGGAATGCGGTTCCTCTTGTTTTAAAGTCGTTTAAGAAGTACCCGAATATGAAAAAGTTCCTTATTTACAGAGGTTTTGGATAGGATACGTAATAAAGAAATTAATTTTCCAAAATATGATTCACCGTTATTTACTAGCGTTAGCGTAAACGTTTGAGAAATTAATTAAATTCTATCACACGACTCGAATTGATTAATGATATTTAAATTATAGAAATCTCAAAATAGAAAACTAAATCAATGAATGAAAACTTCAGCTTTGATATAAGATCGTGTAATCCGAGCAGCTTACAAACAGTTTGCTTATTTATGAAGGTACCCTTTAAATTAGGACACCTTAAACCTTCCGATAGAATCATTAAATCATCGCCACCCCGGCCTTCCATCAGACGCCTATTAATCAAATACTCCCCAGTGATTAATTAGAAAATCAGCAATTAGACGCAAATCGCCAAAATTAAGGCCTCCGATAATATAACATTAACAGAGGAAAAGAAAACGGAGGAAAAATACAAAAAAAAAAAATCGGTTTGAAACACAAGTTAGAGAAAAATCTCAAGTATAATAATAAAAAACATATTATGGATAGATCCTGAACTGTAGTTGTAATTAAATAAGGATACCTCCAGTGGGAATGATAAATGAAAGTTGGCAGATCAGGAGTAAAGTGATTTCGATTCGGGGGAATGAAACATTAGCGCATCCAAACATAAACAGATTTCACGGCTCGTAGGATTCGGTAAGAAATGAATTTGATGCTGTAATCCCTTCTACCGAGGATTAATTTCTTATTGTAGGGATTTAGTCCGGAGTAATGATCGAAGAACGACCCCTGACGGAGATATTGCGTGAATTACGAGAGAGATATTAATGTATTAGATGTTGATTCTACACCATTATTATAATATTAATCATTTATACAAACTACAACTGTTTGAAGAATAGTAAAACGGACAAAATTAATGTAACGAATATTTTAATACAAACTAATTTAGATTATAATTGATATTTTTTCTTCGAGAGTCCCTAATTAATTAAATGATTAATCATCAGTAGCTTCAATTAGGGCCGACAAGTTGATTTTTTTAAGTTATTGTTATATTTGAACATGTTTTTGCTAATGAAAACTGACATCATATTTAGTAGTTGAATGTTTCACCTCCAACTAGGACTACATCCAGGCGGAACCTAATTGAATCACAAAACCTTAGAGCAATCATGAATTTTAACAATATCTGGCCGGTCTCCAGCACTGCATAATTACACAGAAACAACATTTCTATTTGTGCTTTGGAAGACGGTTAATTAACTACCCTCCTGATAGTTTTTTATTTCGTTTCTTTTGACTTGAAATGATAGTTTTTTTCCAGTAATTTAAATGTTTAATTTGACATTTAAATGTTATTCTAAATGCTTGTATAAAAAGTTACGAAGGTATTTCTCAAAGATACCAAGTACTGTTTGTTGGAATGCGAGTGAGACAGTGTTTTATGAAACGAATTGCCTTTACACTAAAATAAGAACATATCATTTTTATTTAAATAAGCAAGCAGAGTTTCATATCTTCTGACCCATTCCATTTTTATACAACCGGTGGCTAGGTCCGTAATAACTGAGAGGAAATTTGCTTCGCATATACCAGATAAAGGGGTGAATGCTCCCTCAGGAGGAATCTGGTTAAGAGCGGATTTTTCCGGATGATTCTGATTTAATCGAGCTCAAAACGGTTTTGAAATGAAGCAATAGATTTTCGACCATTACGTCACTGTTCAGCTTCTTGAATTCATATTCAGTTTCAGTTGAAATATTTGACCACAAGAAGAACATATTTGTTTTAACTATATACATAAATATTTTGTACCCTATTTATGAATAATTGAATATTTCAAAGCAGCCATTTAAAAAGCAGTTTCCGGAGAATTTATATCGCTTACTGCAAATTGTGTATTCCATTAGAATATTGGAAGCTTATTAAAGGAAGGAGTGGAATCACTTAACAGTCGATACAGCTTAGTCCCAAACTGTACCCCGGTGCTTTTTTAAGTCGAGTCAATTTCCAGTTTAGATAGAAAGTACAAAGTCTAGTAAAGTTGCTTAGGGTGGCTCGGAAATGAAGAAATCCGGTTTGGGGGATGTTGAATTAATGGAATCTCGTGATGAAAAATACTGAGATCGTTTATTCACGGAACATTTGCGACGGAGTCCACTTTAATATTACGATGGCTTGATGGACTGCTCCTAGTTTATACCGAGTATGATGTACATTTATTATCTTCATTTCATATTATTTGAATTCGCGTAGCATTTTTATATGTTATTCGTTGGTATTACGAATTATTATTTTCAAGTTTTCTGTCTATTGTAGATATGACGGAAAAATAGTATGATAGTTTTCCTTAAGTTGTTTAAAAAATATTGATTAGTTTTTATTGTGGCTCGATACTTGTCCCGTAACTTTCAGTTAGTGTATAGTTCAATACTTTAATTAAAGTTAAATGTATCTAAAACACTCAAACGTCATTTTATAGTCATGTATCTCTTTAATATTAGTTTATTTATTCCGTAGTTAAAATTTGTTTTTAAATTCAGGATTTGACTATTGAATAACAGTGACTCTGTCGTATAATACTATGAAATTATGACCTTATATTTATAACTTCTAAAAAAGCCAGTTGTAGTTGTATTTAATACAAACATTGAATAATGAACGCTTCTAATAATATCATCATTGCATTCAGATAACTTTTAAATATTCAAGTTGAACAAAGTATTCGATGTAAATAGGTCAGCTTTGGAATTATTCGTCGATATCTATAATATTATCTCAGATATCTGAACTCAGAACGCCAACAGACTCTGAGACAGAAGTCAGTGGAGTTGTGATTCTGATCAATACAAAGTTTGCGAGCCGATGAATTAGAACCTCCGCCCGTAGAAGAAACTTTATAATACACACTAATATTATTGATGGAGAAGTTTGTTTGTTCTATCACATCTTAGACCGAACTGAGTTTTTACTGCGATCATTATAAAGATGTTTATAAGAAGACCTATTAATATACAGAAGCCTCATTAACTATTAAAATAAATTAAGTAAATTTAACATGAACAATATAATTCTTTACATTACTATGTTAATAGTAATAGTACTAGATGATATTATTTCTGTGAACATAAATAAATCAAATTCCCATATTAATAATGTATGTGAATGATCGACGGTCCGGATGTGATTCAGTAAGGCTTCGAATTTCCGTCCGACAGACGACTTGTGATTGCCCGTTTATAGTTAAAACAACACAGACACATAAACACTGGAAATGATTCGATATCAACTTATAGAAGTATGATTTTAATGTGCAATAGGCATATTTTGAACTGTTAAATGAAGATGAACATTTAATAATAACATTACATAGAAAAATAAAGAAAGTAATACCAATCTAAATGTTCTTTTTATTGAAACTAATATTTTTCAGACAACATCTCGTCTGTCCGTGATCACGGTTGATGAAAAGTAACCAAAACGTCGCATTGGGACTATGTAGTTTAAAATAATAAAATAAGCGTAGTATAATCCGAAAAACATTAGTATAATTTAAATGAATACTCGTGAAAGCCCGAGTAGTCGTTATTTCCAGTGTTCTATATCGGTGTAAGGTTACAATTGTAGCCTTTGAATCGAATATCCTAAACGAGTTACGGAGACAGCTACGAATAGATGACACAGGAGACGGATCAGATAATACATGGACACTGGACAGGGCGTCGACCTACTGGGTATAGTTAAATACTGAAGTTAAAGGTAGATTAATATTATATAAACTACTTATATTTCTCTATTTAATAATTAATAACCATTATAATTATACTTAAACTCTTTAATAACTTTCTACTATTTTATCATTGTCGTGTTTTTAAATCCATAAATTCAATAAAAAGGAGGAGTTTTCTCAATTCAAACGCATATATATGTTTTTGTACACAACTTTCAATCAAACGTCCGAGCCGAATCGTCTCTCTAGATCAGGAAAGCTATCTTCTGTCGTACAAGACACTTGAATATGTCTAATAGCGTCATGTATACTGTAGTATAATAGTTCTCTACACCTTCCTATCTGCCCGTAGTGTGCGATAGTGTCTCAGATACCATTCATTGTATTGCCGGCCCTCATCACAACTCACTGACCGGTGAACGTAACATTCATTAAACACGAAATATTTAACTGTAGCTCGTGACGTCATAAAGGTTATATTTATTTTGTGTTTATAAAAACTTTCAGGCTTTCAATTAATTTATATAGAATCGGTAAAGCGAGCGCAGTTATTAAGAGCGGACTGAAGTTAGTAAGTTTTACGATAACTCGCAGGCGGCGTTTGTATGACAAATAAAATACGAGATTACTGTTTTAGTTTCATAGTTAAATGGAATCGAGTTAACCCGCGAGGCTGCGTCGACCAGTTTGAACCTTTCAATATAACGAGTATGTGAACAAGATTAAGATTAGGACTTAGATAACTAAATAAGTTAACTACGGATACATAATTGATACATGTCTTAACTCCCCTGGGCCGCAAGTTGTCTGAATTTAATATGTGTACCTGGAACAATAAGACGGATTCTGTTAAAAAATGAAACGACGAAGATAATAAGATTAAATGAATCATGTTCTTAAAATGTTGGAAAAACAAAATAAGATTAGAGAAATCTTCAGTACGATTGACCTGAATACAAATGAGACTTAAGTATATTAGTATACCAACAAAGAGGACGTTCTGATGTTTCTAATTTCATTTATATGAGACTTTTATATTCCTCTTGTTAATTTTAAAATATCATCAGATTCAATAAGATAAGAAAAGTTTAAGGTAATTTAATTTATAACTCATTCAGGACACAGACGCTTGATAGATAATGATGATGAAAATATATATTTTAAAGTTTAATATGTAGGATTTACAAAATTATACGACACACAATGAAGAGATCCGGAAAAGAGAGAACAAAATTCTGTAGTCATTATATATGTACTTGTAAATGCAAAAACAGTAACAGTCACACAGTACGTCTTTATTATTATATATAACAAAAATTATCTATTTGTATAGAGAATACATTGAATCATTACAATCAGGACATGTGTGTATAACTCATTTGTCAACGTTTATTTATTAACAAACCATCAAACCGTCCGTTAACCGTATAACAAGTAGTACTCGTATATAAAATCTAAACTCCAGTCCTGAGTGAGTGAGATTTAAGTCGTTGATATAAAGCCGTAAACTGCAGAGTGCCACAGTTTGGGTTGTTCGACTGAACAATAAAACAAATCAGTCTTCGGAGCGTTTAGTTCTTATTTCCATCCACTTCCCCGCTATTTCCTAT